TGGAAGCTTCTAAACAGAAGCTGCGTGGCCATCTGTTGGGAAGTGTTTTGGTTGTGCTTTTCCTGCTTGGCAGAAAGAAGGGGATTGGATTGGATGGCCTTTGGGGGGCTCAACTCTACGATTCTATGATTCTATGTAGCATTGGACAACCTGTAGCCAGGGCTCTGGATGAAGCCGGTGTGTGTGCGGGGGTCTTCTTGGGCTGGGTGGCTCTGGCCAACTCTTCCAACCCCAGAATTTATTTTCCCCACCCGGGACATTCCACAGATATATTAACCCCATTTTCCTAGTTTCCAACAGACCTCACAACCTCTGAGGATGCCTGCCATTGATGTGGGTGAAACATCAGGAGAAAATGCTTCTGGGACATGGCCAGGCAGCCCAGAAAACACACAACAACCTATCACATTATTAAGATTTATTTCTGGCATTGCAGAGGGATTGACTGGTGCCTTTTACTGGAAGAGCACTACAGTTTTCTCAGTGTTCAGCGACAGGCCAAGCTTTCTGCAAAGGTGTTTAGAGTGGCTTGTAGGTCTTCTTCTGAATGAGCACAGACTACAGTATCATCAGCATATCTGAATTCTATAACAAAGGTTAGTGTGGCTTTCAGTCTGCTGAGGTGAAATAGCTTGCCATCTCTCCGATAGATGCTTTCCATACTGGTGGGAAGCTTCCCATCAACAAGGTGCAGAATCATAGTGATGAAGGTGGAGAATAAGGTTGGGGCAATGACACATCCCCAATTTTATTTATTTATTTATTTATTTATATTCTGCTTTATCTCTCCATACCGAAAATCAAAGCAGCTCACAATCAAAAACATTACAACGTAAAATATACAAATATATAATAATAAAACAGTATATCATTATATATTGTCAGTAGTATTATAGTAAATATATTACTACTATATTACAATGTTTCATATTATCATATTGTATTATATTGCACTACATTATATTATTATCTATATGTATATATTATAAAATTAACATAGCACAATATTAGTATTATAAATGATTATATTGTACTAAGCCACTGTACTGCAATATTATTAGTAATATTACATGTAATATATAAAAGGTAAAGGTTTTCCCCTGAAGTCGTATCCAACTCTGGGACTCTGGTGCTCATCTCCATTTCTAAGCCGAAGAGCAGGCGTTGTCCGTAGACGCCTCCAAGGTCATGTGGCCATTGGTATGACTATGGAGCGCCCTTACCTTCCCACCAGAGCGGTACCTATTGCTGGAGGTTTAGCACAGCTGGTAAATCATCAGCAATTATAAGATCTATCAACCAAAAGGTTGCAAGTTCTAAGCCCCGGGTTGGCGTGAGCTGCCAACTGTCAGCCTAGCTCATTGTTTATCTAAACGATTTGAAAACAGCTTTAGCTGTGATTAGAGAGATTAGGTACCGCTAAAATTGCCTTTAAAAAAAAGCGGTGGAGGTGTTTTACACCACAAAGACAGAAGATCAGAAAATGCTGGGTGACAAAAAGGAAGGAGGAAGTCCTGATGGCCCTTCGTCATAGAGGATGGAGCAACAGTACCCCCTGGACTCCAGTCCAACCTTCCTTGGCACCTCCTTCTGTTCTGTCTGTCTGTGTATTGTCTATACAAAGCGGCATTGAATGTTTGTCATGTATATGTACTGTGATCTGCCCTGAGTGCCCTTTGGGGTGAGAAGGGTGGAATATAAATAAAGTATTGTTATTATCATTATTATTTTTGATCTACTCACACTTGCATGTTTTCGAACTGCTAGGTTGGCAAAAGCTGGAGCTAACAGTGGGAGCTCACCCCACTCTCTGGATTTGGGTCAGCAACTTCAGCAGTTCAGCGTTTTAACCTGCTGCGCCACAAGGGCCCTTATGTAATATATAATATACAATTATTATATTGTACTATATTATTATATCGCAATATATACAATACACACTAATGTATTATAATATTACAACATTATCAATATTATATATAATATATGAGTATTATTAGATGATAATAACACATGCAGTACAATACTTAATTACTTACTTACTTAGGCGATCCCTTGTAGTCCGAGGATGATGGTCCTCCAAGAATGGAAACCTGGGGGTGGATCTGTAGGTGGCTGTGGAGCCCTATTCTTGATCTGCATCATCTCCCTTCCGCAGTGAGGGCATCGGTTTCCAGGTGGGAGGCGGTCCTGGTTGGGGTTGGCTTGACGCGCCTTCCTCTTGGCACGTTTCTCTCTTTTGGCCTCTTCAAATTCTGCAGCACTGCTGGTCACAGCTGACCTCCAGATGGAGCGCTCAAGGGCCAGGGCTTCCCAGTTCTCAGTGTCTATGCCAGAGTTTTTAAGGTTGGCTTTGAGCCCATCTTTCAATCTCTTTTCCTGTCCACCAACATTCCGTTTTCCGCTCTTGAGTTCGGAGTAGAGCAACTGCTTTGGGAGACAGTGATCAGGCATCTGGACAACATGGCCAGTCCACCAGAGTTGATGGCAGAGGAGCATTGCTTCAATGCTGGTGGTCTTGGATTCTTCGAGCACGCTGATGTTTGTCCGCCTGTCTTCCCGGGAGATTTGCAGGATTTTCCGGAGGCAGCGCTGATGTAATCGTTCCAGGAGTTGCATGTGACGTCTGTAGACAGTCCACGTTTCGCAGGAATATAGCAGGGTTAGGAGGGCCATAGCTTATAAACAAGCACCTGGGTCTCCCTATGGATGTCCCGGTCCTCAAACACTCTCTGCTTCATTCGGAAGAAGCTGCACTTGCAGAGTTCAGGTGGTGTTATTTCAGTGTCAATGTTGACTTTGGTGGAGAGGTGGCTGCCAAGGGTGCGGAATTGTCACATTTTCTAATGTTACACCATTAAGCTGTATTTCTGGCATTGGAGAGGGATTGGCTGATGACTGCTGGAAGAGCACTTTGGTTTTTGATGTTCAATGACAGGCCGAGCTTCTCGTATGCTTCTGCAAAGGTGTTGAGAGTGGCTTGTAGGTCTTCTTCTGAATGAGCACAGACTGCGTTGTCATCAGCATACTGGAGTTCTATAACAGATGTTGTTGTGACCTTGGTTTTGGCTTTCAGTGCAATACAGTGGCACTGCATGATGAAGAAGCTGCCTTGTCTGGCCACGTGGAAGGAAGGGCATGGGCCTTTCTTGAGAATCCTGTTATAGAACTCCAGTATGCTGATGACAACGCAGTCTGTGCGCATTCAGAAGAAGACATACAAGCCACTCTCAACACCTTTGCAGAAGCATACGAGAAGCAGCTCAGCCTGTCATTGAACATCAAGAAAACCAAAGTGCTCTTCCAGCATTCACCAGCCAATCCCTCTCCAATGCCAGAAACACAGCTTCATGCTGTTAGCTGGCCCTGATTGCTTAATGCCTGTTTCTTTATGCAGCTACCTACATCATGTTGAATGTTGCCATTGGCCACCTTGATCAGCTCCAGTTCTGGGCACCACAATTCAAGAGAGATATTGACAAGCTGGAATGTGTCCAGAGGAGAGCGACTAAAATGATAAAAGGTCTGGAGAACAAGCCCTATGAGGAGCGGCTTAAGAAGCTGGGCATGTTTAGCCTGAAGAAGAGAAGGCTGAGAGGAGATATGATGATAGCCATGTATAAATATGTGAGAGGAAGCCACAGGGAGGAGGGAGCAGATCAAAGGTCTGGAGAACAAGCCCTATGAGGAGCGGCTTAAGGAGCTGGGCATGTTTAGCCTGAAGAAGAGAAGGCTGAGAGGAGATATGATGATAGCCATGTATAAATATGTGAGAGGAAGCCACAGGGAGGAGGAGGGAACAGATCAAGGGTCTGGAGAACAAGCCCCATGAGGAGCGGCTTAAGGAGCTGGGCATGTTTAGCCTGAAGAAGAGAAGGCTGAGAGGAGACATGATGATAGCCATGTATAAATATGTGAGAGGAAGCCACAGGGAGGAGGGAGGGAGCAGATCAAGGGTCTGGAGAACAAGCCCTATGAGGAGTGGCTTATGGAGCTGGGCATGTTTAGCCTGAAGAAGAGAAGGCTGAGAGGGGATATGATAGGCCATGTATAAATATGTGAGAGGAAGCCAACAGGAGGAGGGAGCAGATCAAGGGTCTGGAGAACAAGCCCTATGAGGAGCGGCTTAAGGAGCTGGGCATGTTTAGCCTGAAGAAGAGAAGGCTGAGAGGAGATATGATGATAGCCATGTATAAATATGTGAGAGGAAGCCACAGGGAGGAGGGAGCAGACCAAGGGTCTGGAGAACAAGCCCTATGAGGAGCGGCTTAAGGAGCTGGGCATGTTTAGCCTGAAGAAGAGAAGGTGAGAGGAGATATGATAGCCATGTATAAATATGTGAGAGGAAGCCACAGGGAGGAGGGAGCAAGCTTGTTTTCTGCTTCCTTGGAGACTAGGACGCAATGGAACAATGGCTTCAAACTTCAAGAGAGGAGATTCCATCTGAACATGAGGAAGAACTTCCTGACTGTGAGAGCCGTTCAGCAGTGGAACTCTCTGCCCCGGAGTGTGGTGGAGGCTCCTTCTTTGGAAGCTTTTAAACAGAGGCTGGATGGCCATCTGTCAGGGGTGAATTGAATGCAATATTCCTGCTTCTTGGCAGGGGGTTGGACTGGATGGCCCATGAGGTCTCTTCCAACTCTGATTCTATGATGAGAGCCGTTCAGCAGTGGAACTCTCTGCCCTGGAGTGTGGTGGAGGCTCCTTCTTTGGAAGCTTTTAAACAGAGGCTGGATGGCCATCTGTCAGGGGTGATTTGAATGCAACATTCCTGCTTCTTGGCAGAACGGGGTTGGACTGGATGATGGCCCAGGAGGTCTCTTCCAACTCTTTGATTCTGTGATTCTATGAATGGCCTTGCAGCTTGAAAGCCTGGCTGCTTCCTGCCTGGGAGAATACTTCGTTGCGAGGTGCTAGCTGGCCTTGATTGCTTAATATCTGCTTCTGGCTGTTTCTCTCCCGGCGTGGGCCTGGCGCCTCCTGGCGGCCTCTTGCGGGCAGCAACGTCCCGGTACTCATGTGCGCGGGGGAGCAGTTCCACCCGGAGCCTGAAGAGCGACGCGCAGGAGGCGCGCCTTTCCATTGGCCGGGCGCCGCTGCCGCCACGTGACCGCGCGGCGTGCTCTGGGAAAGCGGTCCCCTTCCTTCCTTCCTTCCTCAGTCAGCAAGATGGGCAAGAAGAAGGCCGCGGCGGGGCCGGGCCTGGGGAGAGCCCTCCTCCGGGAGCGGGGACAAGGCCGCGGGGGGAAGCAGCGGGGAGACCCCGGATGGGTGAGAGAGAGAGAAAGAGAGACATGTCTTGTCGAAGGCTTTCATGGCTGGAATCACTCAGTTCTTGTAGGTTTTTTCGGGCTATATGGCCATGCTCTAGAGGCATTCTCTCCTGACGTTTCGCCTGCATCTATGGCAAGCATCCTCAGAGGTAGTGAGGTCTGTTGGAAGTAGGAAAATGGGTTTATCTCTGTGGAATGACCAGGGTGGGAGAAAGAACTTTTGTCTGCTGGAGCTGGGTGTGAATGTTTCAACTGACCACCTTGATTAGCATTTAATGCCCTGACAGTGCCTGGAGCAACAGCGTTGCCCAGACACGGATCAAGGAACATGAAAGACACTGCAGACTACTTCAACCAGAGAAGTCAGCCATAGCAGAGCACCTGATGAACCAACCTGGACACAGCATATTATTTGAGAACACAGAAATGCTGGACCACTCTCACAACCACCATGTCAGACTACACAGAGAAGCCATTGAAATCCACAAGAAGCATGTGGACAATTTCAACAGAAAGGAAGAGACCATGAAAATGAACAAAATCTGGCTACCAGTATTAAAAAACTCAAAAATTACAACAGCAAAACAGCAGAGAGGAAACAACCAGGCACATCTTAACACCTCTCAACAGAACATTTTCCCAGGCTCAGCCAGGCCTTCAAATGCTAATGAAGGTGGTCAGTTGAAACATTCACACCTAGCTCCAGCAGAGAAACGCTCTTTGCCCCATCCCAGCCATTCCACAGATATATAAACCCATTGCCCTACTTCCAACAGACCTCACTACCTCTGAGGATGCTTGCCATAGAAGCAGGCAAAACGTCAGGAGAGAATGCCTCTAGAACATGGCCATATACCCCGAAAAAACACACAAGAACTGAAAGAGAGACATACTGCTGGGCTTTGGCTTGGCGTCTTCGAGGGTAGGCCGGGCCCACTCCGGCCCTCCTCCGGGGGTTCGGACGCCAGCTCCCACCCTTACTCACAGCCGGTAGTTGGAGTCCACAACCCCCGGAGGAGGGCCGAAGTGGGGCCAGGCCTGGCTGATGTATCGGTGAGCTTAAGTTAGGGAGCAGGAGGCTTTCCAACAGAGGCTGGGTGGCCATCTGTCAGGGCTGCTTTGAACGTGCTTCTCCTGCATCGAGGGCCTGGAGAACACGCCCTGAGAGGAGAGCGCAGCGGAAAGAGCTGCTGGGCGAGTGAAGCCTGCAGAAGAGAAGGATAGATTACTGCAACGCTCTCTACGTGGGGCTGCCTCTGAAGACTGCCCGGAAGCTGCAGCTACTCCAACGCTGGGCAGCCAGACTACGAACGGGTGCTGGATGCAGGGAGCACACCACTCCGCTGCTACACCAGCTCCACTGGCTGCCAGTCAGCTTCCGAGCACAATTCAAAGTGCTGGTGTTAACCTATAAAGCCCTAAACGACTCCAGCCCTGTTTACCTCTCCGAAAGTATTCTCCCCCATGAACCATCAAGATTATTAAGATTCGTCTGGAGAGGCCCTGCTCTCGGTCCCACCTGCCTCGCAAGTGCGTCTGGTGGGGACGAGGGACAGGGCCTTCTCAGTGGTGGCCCCTCAACTCTGGAACTCTCTCCCACCAGAGATCAGAACCGCCCCTTCTATCCTGACATTCAGGAAGCAGGTGAAGACATGGTTATTAGGCCTGTTTGATCAAGAAAAAATTTGTTTCTAAAATCAATTTGTAATTGGGGTGTTTTTTTGTTTCGATATTTAAAATAATTACAAAACTTTCCAAAAAAGTTTTGGTATTTAAGAAATTTTGTAAATATTAACGAATTTTTAGAATATTTTTTGTATTTCTTAAGAATAATATTAAAATAATATTAAAAAATATTTTAAAATGGAAAATTAACCAAAAAATGGCCCAAATGTGGACCAAACACAGGCAGGATACAGCAAATGAGAGCACACACCAACAGAAGAGTCTTTTCTTTTTTAGAATATTTTTTAAGAATAATATTAAAATAATATTAAAAATAATATTAAAATATTTAAAATGGAAAATTAACCAAAAAATGGCCCAAATGTGGACCAAACACAGGCAGGATACAGCAAATGAGAGCACACACCAACAGAAGAGTCTTTTCTTTTTTAGAATATTTTTTAAGAATAATATTAAAAAATAATATTAAAAAATAATATTAAAAATAATATTAAAAAAATATTAAAAATATTTTAAAATGGAAAATTAACCAAAAAATGCCCCAAATGTGGACCAAACACAGGCAAGAGACAGCAAATGAAGCAAGCAGCACTCACAGCAGCAAGGAATGAATCCAATCCCAGTTGCTAGCAGCCATTGCCAAGCCAACCCAATGCAAACTCCCTCGCCCTCTGCAGCAAGCTACGGGCCGCGCGGAGCCGCTTTGAAAGGGCTCGCCGGCCAATCAAAAACAGACAGCCACGGACCCATGGTGCACTGCTTGGGAGCGCCGGATTGGCTCCCAGGCACCAGCACTCCAGCAGCCTCCACCCCATTAACGAAACGAGCGGAAGCTCGTTAAATCTATGGGGGTTGCTGGTTCGATATTTTAAAACCCTTCCGGGTTTGGAAATGTGTTTTGATATCGCTTAGGAAATGCCAAAAATAACGAATTAATAACGAATTAACGAATTAACGAACGAAACCGCACAGGCCTAGTGAAGACATGGTTATGGAGACAGGCATTCGATGAGTGAGCCAACACCCTGAGATATGGATGGAGGATGATGAACATCAAATTTAGTGGGACGACTGACCATTGTATTTATTGAATATAATTGCTGTTTTGCTGTTTTAATGTTTTACTGCAATATGAAGTATGATGTTTTATTGACTGTATGTGATATTATGGTTGGAAACCGGTCTGAGTCCCTCAAGAGAGGTGAGAAGGCCAGTATACAAAACCTTTAAATAAATAATAAATAAATTGAAGCAGAGGCTGGGTGGCCATCTATCAGGGCTGCTTTGAACGTGCTTCTCCTGCATCGAGGGCCTGGAGGACAAGCCCCGAGAGGCGAGAGCGGCGGAAAGAGCTGCCGGGCAAGTGTAGCCTTCAGAAGAGAAGGATGAGACGAGGCAGGATGATGGGGGACGGATCTGTGTGTGAAGGGAAGCCCCGGGGGGGGGGGGGGGGGGGCAGGGTTCCTTTCTGCTCATCCTGGAGACTAGGACGCCATGGAGCCATGGCTGCAAACTACAGGAGAGGAAGGAGATGCGGCAATAAGTTGTAACAGGACATTGCAAGTTTGTTTTCATCTCTACTATTAGGAGTAAAGATTGTTCTGTTCCTTTTCCCTCTTGTCTATGGGTCTTGTGCATTTGGGCTTGGGACTTTGGCTAGAATCCACAGGAGATTCAATCTGAACATTAGGAAGAACTTCCTGACTGTGAGAGCGAGATGTGATTCAGCAGTGGAACTCTCTCTCTGCCCCTCGTGGAGTGTGGCGGAGGTTCCTTCTTTGGAGGCTTTGAAGCAGAGGCTGGATGGCCATCTATCGGGGGGGGGGGGGGGGGGGGCTTTGGATGCAATTTCCCTGCTTCTTGGCAAAATGGGGTTGGACTGGATGGCCCACCAGGTCTCTTCCTTTTCTGTAGTCACTGAAGGGAAGAAAGGCCATGGGTTGCTGTATCTTGATGTGGTAGTTTATGAGAACTCAGCCTGCTTTATTCCCCTCCTGTTTGGATTATGAATCCGACTCTCTGGTGCTTTGCTTGTGGGTGAACAGAGGAGAGGCACTTGCTATGGAGTGGCCAGATATTCCACACAAATCTGAGTAACTCGCCTCAGAGCCCACTGTTGGCTTCAACACTTGGAAGTACCGCTCTGTGTCCTTCCTTTGCAGCTCCACACGAGTGACTTAAATGACGGCTATGACTGGGGGCGCCTCAACCTTCAGTCCGTCACAGAGCAGAACTCGCTGGACGAATTCCTGGCTACCGCAGAGTTGGCAGGAACCGAGTTTGTGGCAGGTGAGCTCTTTGCAAGGGTGTTCTTCTCCACCTGGCTTACAAACCCAGCTTCCCTCTGACATTTACTGTTGTTTCTGTTGTTCTGCAGAGAAATTGAACATCAAGATAGTTTCTCCTGAGGCTCAGACTGGCCTGCCGACAGCAGAAGAGGCCCAGAAGATCCATGAGCTTCAGGAGCAGCACAAGCAATTCCTCTGCATCCCAAGGAGGTGAGTCTATGACGATGACTATGACTGGATTGACGACTTGGCTTGGGTAATAGTTTTTATTGTCCTTTATTGTACTATTTTAATCTGTAATGACGTTGCACTCTGTTGTACTTATATATTATTGTATTTGCATATATGTTGTAAACCGACCTGAGTCCCTCGTTGAGGTGAGAAGGCCGGGATAGAAAACTTCCAAATAAATAAATAAAATAAATAAGTCTGCTGCAGCCCAAGCTCCTTCTGAGGCTTTGCATTTTGTGCAACCAATGTGTTCTCCTGTATACGTGTCATGATAAACTTCAGAAGTTTCGCCAATTCTTATCTCTCATGTGGGATGCATTGGCTGCTTTGAGAATGGCCGTAACCCTTCTCTGGCATGATGTCCTTTTTGTTTTGCACGTGGTTGCTCCAGGCCACACTGGAACAAGCAGACCAGCCCTGAAATGCTGAGCCAGGCGGAGAGGGACGGCTTCCTGGAGTGGAGGAGGCAGCTGGTTCGGTGAGTGCGCCAACCTGGAGGGTTCTTTGTGTGGCCTTGTGGTTCCTGTCCTACTGTAAGGTTCCTGTCTATCCATCCTCGATGAAACTGGGTCAGGATGCAATCTGGACAGGTGCTGGCTCTGCAGAGATCCAGCATGCCTTGTGTCCAGGAGAGATCATATTCCTCCAACATCAGGGTGCCATTGGTGGCCCAACTTTGTGTCTTAATGTAATATAGCAATATTAAATGATCACTCACAAGCCGGTTTTGCTTTGAAATGAATATATTGCTTGTATCTCTGCAGCAAAGAAAGACACTACTGACTTTCCCCCACCACCACTTCCTTTTGTACACCTTTCCTGCCCATCTCCCCACCCCCTTCTCAGTTTCCTTATTAGAGCTTGTTGCTTCACAAGTTCCAAAACAAGGTTTCCAGTGGCCTCTGCTGGCTTCAAAATGCCACAGAGAGAAAATAGAGGCAGCCAGGATGATTCAGTCAGGATGTCACGGAGGGAATTTGTAATGTCTTCATTCCATCAGAAATTGAGTCCTGACACCCACCTTGCAAATCTAGGCTCCAAACGATGGAATGATGAGCCCGAAGGAAGCAAGTCTTGTGCCTGTAGCTGCTTTCAGTAGAGACGTTGTACTAGCTCAATGGACCTTATTCTGTGGAGAGGAAAAAAGGCTGGTTCAGATACACTGACCTCCCCCTTCAAGTCCTGCTTCCCCTCTGAAGAAAGAGCGTTGTTTTCATCTGACTCAAAAACCATCTAAGAGGAGTTCAGGCAGACATTGAGCGAATGTGATTCCACAGTGGGAAGGGGCCTGTTCCTCTTTTCCCCTTGTATTGTGGTCTGGTGTGTGTTTGTGTGGGAGGTGGGGGTTCCAGGCAGGTATCTTTGGAAGAGCTGGTCCTAGAGAGGGGGCAGCTTTTTAACGGTGGCATCCAGCTGTGCCCAGACGAGGCTCTTCCCTCGTCTCGATGGAGAGACACAGCCCTGCTCCAGTGTATTGCAATGTGATTGGTCCTGTTCCAGAACATTTCCCTCGCTAGGAGTTGAAGCTCTGCTGAATGTTTTAGCCGGAGAAGGTAGAAGGCAGTGGTGCAGGTCACAACTCCTGGTGCCGTGGCATCGTGGTTGCTCACTGAATGCTCCGGTGCTGAAGTTTCCCTCCCTTGTTTCTTCCAGGTTGGAGGAAGAACAGAAGCTCCTTTTGACTCCCTTTGAACGAAATTTGG